AGGGAAAAAAAAAAAAAAAAAAAATATATATATATATATATATATATATATAGCTGAGAGTGCCCACAACCTGGCATTTAGGGATCTAAACAAGAGAAGAATAGCATGGGGAGCTCGTGACACCTTTAACATCCCAAGAGGGAGAGGAGCATTTCAGGTGCATGGTTTGGTCTCCAAACATAACAGGGAAGCTGAAAAACCCCAAAGAGGCTGGGGTAAGGCAGGAAAAGGAGGAAAAGAGAAGCTGTGATTGGATTTATGCAACCCCGTAGATTCTTCAACACACCACGCCCAGCGCAAGAGGAGTACAAGCATCGCCTGGTGAGCATCTGCAACGGAACCGCTCAGTCGTTGCTCAGCTGCCTCCGTAGTGGTGCACAAAGAACTGCACGGCCTTTTGCTACGTGCTCTGAGATGGAGCATGCTGGGTTTCCTGAAGAGGTCATATGCTGTTCAGGGCGGAAAGGATCCACGGGCGTCCCTTCCTATTTTTATAGCCCTGCATCATTCTTTGCCTAACGTGGATTAGCTCTGTAAAGCCTTAGTAGTACACTCAGCATCCCTCTCCTGAAAAGGTGCACTGACTTTTGGGGAAAAGGCTTCGAGGAAGACACACACTAACGGAACAAAACCAACTTCAGCAGACAAAAAAATAATATGGCTGGCGAACAGAGCAACAACAGTAGAGTATCTTATTGGCTTTTCTTCAGCCTTAAAGCACTTTAAAAAACATTATAGATTCATAGATTTTAAAGGCCAGAGAGAGCAATTCTGATTATCCAACCTGATTTCCTACCATAAAATTTTGTCCCATCACTCCCACATGAAGACCGTAGTCTGTAGCTGGACTAAAGTATATCTTATAGACATTCGAATCTTGATTTAAAGGTTCAAAGCAATGCCAAATCCATCACACCCCCTCAATAAGCAGATCTAATGGCTAGTTATCCTCATACAGAAAGATTGAATTTATCTAGTTTTGACTCCTACCTCCTGATCTTGATATGTGCAAAAATGTTAGATTAATGAGCTCTATGCTATCTATTTGATGTCTTTCTTCCCAGAGAGATACTTATAAACCATGATCAAGTCCTCTCAGATGTCTCAAGCTTGGATAGCATGGATTTTAAAGTCTGATTTGCAGACTTCCAGCAGTTGTCATAGCTCTTCTCTGTGCCCTGTCCGGATTTGGAAAATAGTTTTAAGTACAGGCACTGTCAGCGCCTGCTTCACAGAGCACTCAATAATGGCAACTCAACAGAAGGCACATCCTCACATACTCTAGAGCATCTCGAGAAAAAAAAAAAAAGAAAAAAAAAAGAAAAAAAAAAGACCACCAGAAATTGCTCAAAACCTAATTAAATGGATTAATGAAATTCTGACAAAGAATAAAAAAAGAAATTGGATTGTGGCATTTCAAAAAGAGATGTGCCGTTCGTCTTTAGGGTTTCTCAGGATAAACTCCACTACAGCAGGAGTTGTGATTACAGCACAGAGGCATATCAAGTCAGACCTAACCTGGCTAGTTTGGGCATTAATAGCACACAGAGATTTGCGAGCAGGTTGAGAAACTTCACACTGAGCCCTTGGTTTGGTAGCAGAAGTGCTACAATTCATCTCTACCATTGTCAACATTAAACTATTAGTGCTGGAGCAACCAAGACTGATGCTGATACAAGTATTTCTGTGTTATAATATGGTCATACACCCATCTGTAAGCCAAGGACCAGTGATCCCAGCTGAGAGGTTCAAGCTGCCATGGTGTCCCCAAGCCCAGGTCACAGCATTGGAATTTTCTCACGGAAAAGGGCCTGAGGGTCCTGGTGGACACCAAGATGAACATGAGGCAGCCATGTGCTCTTATAGCAAAGAAGGCGAATGGTACCCTGGGCTGCTTAGGCAAAGTATTGCCAGCAGGTCGGGGGAGGTGATCCTCACCCTCTACTCAGCACCGGTGGGGCCACACCTGGGGTGATGGGTCCAGTGCTGGGCTCCCAAGCACAAGAAAGACATGAACATTCTGGAGAGAGTCCAGCAAAGGGCCACAAAGATGATGAAGGGCCTGGAGCATCTCCCCTGTGAGGAAAGACTGAGAGACCTGGGGCTGTTCAGCCTGGAGAAGAGAAGGCTCAGGGGGGTGTCATCAATGTCTACAAATACCTGAAGGGAGGGACCCAAGAGGATGGAGCCAGGCTCCTTTTCAGTGGTGCCCAGTGCCAGCACCAGAGGCAATGGGCACAAACCGGAACGCAGGAAATTCCCTCTGAACATCAGGAATCACTTTTTTCCTGTGAGGGTGACTGAGCACTGGCACAGGTTGCCCGGGGAGTTTGTTGAGTCTCCATCCTTAGAGACATTCAAACACCATCTGGACATGGTTCTGCATGATCAAAGGGGTTGGGCAAGATGACCTCCAGAGGTTCTTTCTGACTTCAACCATTCTCTGATTCTATGAATTCCTCCATCTTCTGCTGAATTTCCCACCACTGCTTTCCAGTATTCCAGTGGACTAATATCACTAGCACCTCAAAGGTGAGTTTCAGTGGCTGAATTTCTCAGATTCTGCTCTGTGAAGAAAGCTGTCGAACTTGTGGTATCCAAGCAGTTTGTCAAAAAAAAAAAACCAAAAACGTATAACAATTATTTTAAGCAACCGTGTGTATAATGCATCTATTGGTTAGTTCTCTGAAAAATAACCAAAAATAAACAAACATGAAGGATGCATTTCCCACTCAGAGTCATCTTTTATGCACAGCAATTGAGATTCTGACAATCTACTGAAGATTCGTAGACTAATGCAGGTTGGAAGGGATCTCTGGAGGTGTCTGGTCCATCATTCTGCTCAGAGGAGGTCCACTCAAGTGAAAGTTGTTCAGGGTCTTGTCCAGCTCTGAATATCTTGAAGGACAGAGATCTCACAGCCTCTCTGGACTCCTGCTGCACTGGTTATTCACCCCAATGGTCAGAACCTTTTGCCTCATATTGAGTTGGAATGTCCTATAGTTCAGATGCCCTTTACCTCTTGCCCTTCCACCATGCACATATGAGAGGTTATGGTTCTACCTACTCCATAGCCTCCCATTAGCTAATTACAGACAAGAGTAAGATTTCTGTTAATTCATGTTCAACTTGCAGTTGATCAGTACCCCCAGGTCTTTTCTTCAAAATAGCTTTAGAGCCAGCCAGCACCCATCATGTCCTGTTGCATAAGATCATTCCACCTCAAGGCACAAAGGAAAGTGTGAATAATCACCTTCCTTCTGATTTTACAGCAAGTTGGGCACTTGAATAACTTCACAGAGCCTACCCAGAGCCTACACTGCTTTCAGGCCTTCACCTTCTGGGCTAATGGAGAGCAGCAGTGAGGGTCACAGTGCTTGGGGTGAGCTATATCCATGTTGTAGGAGGTCCTGAACAAAAGGTGATGAAAATACAGTCCAACCTACCAATCCCTTGCAGCCATAGAAAAACTGGTCCTTGAATTTTCCTGGCATATGAAGCATACACAATTTCTCTAAAGAAGAGACAATGTTTTAGTAGTTTTACTTCCCAATCCTGCTTCTAGCAAGGATTCCTTGCTACAGGGACTGGGGCTTTACCCTTGGGACACGTGGGAGAATAATTACAGAAATAAGGAGGCACTAATATCCTTTGTTTACACCTAGACCAGCCCTCTCTGTCACCCAAACCCCACAGACACAGGACGGAGCAGACAGAGAAGCTATCCAGGTGATTCAGAAGCAATTTCGAGGTCCACTGTAGAAGCAGCACCTGATAATTTTAGATCCTTGTCTGACACTAGTGTATTTTAGAAGTGGGATACCATGACATCAACCACCATCCAGCAACGTTAGTTTATATCTATCTGCAAAATACATCCCTCTGGCCCAACCCAACAAAACCCATGAGCCAGAGAATATCTCCAATGGAGGGAAGCGCTCTGCATCTCCAGGGTCTGGAGAGGCATCAGCAGCAATAGCATCTCCATTCCATCTACAGAGCGAGGAATAACAGAAGAGTTTTGGTGTTGGTGTTTTTGTAAGGGAGATAGATGTTTTGCAAGCTCATCTGACAGCCTCTGAACACAGTAGCTCTGAAACACATTAGAAAAAGAGTCTGGCTTGTTCCACCTTTCTGCGCTCTAACTCCCTATTGTAACAGATGACACAATTAAAAATAGAAAAGGATGTGGTCTCAGCAAGGACTGGAATATATCTGTGCCTGTTTAATGGAACATATGGTGGAATATTTTTACATCTTATAAAGAAGTGTGTATTGGACATGTGCTGGCACTTGTGAGATGCAACAGCAGAAAAATGGCATTAATATTTGCTTCCTGACAACAGGAGCTGCCCTACCCCGTGTACACGCACACGAGCCATCAGCAGGACAGCCCACAACTGACTAGGAAACCTTTCATTATACGCACCATTGGAGTTAATTCGGAAGACATTGGCTGAAGTCTCCTGAAAAAGTTCCTGTAGTTCACTCGGATCAATCTGGGTGGCTGTGAAAACAAAAAGGGAGAAGATAATTACTACTGGGGACCGCTTAGCACTTTGAAAGGGGATCACCTCCCAGATGATCCTTTGAAGGGGGATGCAGGTTCCTCCTCGCTGCAGAAATTTAGCCCAAGTAGGTGGTCTGGTGTAGCCTTGCACAATGTCTGATCATGCAACTTGCGCTGGGCAGGAAACACCTACTCCATCAGGACAGTAAAGATGCTCCTGCAACACAGCAGATACAGCCCATGTGGATCGAGATAGCATTTGTAGGATTATTAGCAATTGGAATATAAATTATTTCTGCTCATTTATCAAATAAGACTAACAGAGCCTTGAATGAACAAGAAACCACAAGCAGAGCATCATGGATGGTTAACCATCGCTCCCCAGAGTAGGAAGACATGCAATCAGGTCCTGCCTTCGGAAAAGGGGAAGAAGCAGTGAGCAAAGTGCAACTGCTCTGTGGGCCCAAAGGGTAGGAAGGAGATGGGAGTCCGGATGGGTCCTCCGCACATTCACCTTCCAGCCCCAAGAGAGCCTCCCCTTCTTCCTACTTCTTCCTGATAACCCAACTGCAAGGGTCAACGAGTCGGTGCCAGGAATTGCTACTGCTGCTGCCCAGACGACTTCTCTCAGCTTCATTCCCAAGGACCTACTTCGGCCAAGGTGCCCAAATCTGCTCTACAAGGAGAACACTGAAGTGAGAGTTTGAATGTTCGGGGTTTTAAAGTTTGGTGGTGGGCTGTTTGTACGTTGTTTTCTTTTGTTTTTATTAGCTTTTCCCAACTTTAAGCTTCATGAAATAATCCCAGGCTCGTCCACAGCTTCATCATCCCCAGAGGAGTCAAACGTGAGGTTTGACAGGACTATATTAAAGAGACAGGATACATCACTTAAATAAGTTTAAAGAGGCGTTTGTGCTTTGATTGGTAACAGTCACCAGAGAAACTCATGTACACCTATGCCTTTGGCACCAGCTTTATGGCAGCAGTTTTACAGCAGATTTTCCCGTGGTTTAGCCCTATTCTGCCTCTGACCTTTTGCAGGTTTCCCAGAAACTGCTCTACCTGAAACTTTGGTCACGTCCAAAAGCACAAGGCTTGTCCACCCAACACACTACAACACATTCAAACAGCCACTGCTAATAGTAAGCCTCTCCCCTGAGCCAAAGCATTACAGAAACTCGAACAGGAGCTACAATTCAGATTTTCAAGTCAGCAGACTGTAACTACAACATATTCTGCATCCCTTAATCAGATTTTCCTAAGCTGTTAAAACATCATGCACCCAACCTTCATTTGGAAGAGCGGAAAGTCAGCCATGGAGTGAGGTGAAAACCACGAATATTGAGCAAAAACAAGTCGCCCACTTGATACACTGCTCAGGTTAGTCCTGAGGATACATCCCCCAATGCTTGAGGACAAGCTCCACATCCAAACTGTGCACTCAAGGGATTTTCCGCTGCTTCTCACACATCTCACCCACAGCAGCACTCGCGTGAGACGATTCAGCCCTGTACTAGCCGTAAATAAAGTCCTGGATCAATCTGTCAGGTTGACACAAATCCGAGGCATTAAATGGTGTTTAATCCAAATGCACAGGGGCTCATTGCTAGAGATTTTTCCGCTCTTCTTTTCCTGCAATTCCTCCTCAGTCAGCTGTCCCAGAAACTTCTTTCCTTTGCTTTATATATGAGGCTATATAACACAAGAAATTAGCTTGAGCTTCTGTCCCCCAGGAATATCACTTGTTACTAACAAGATCCAGCTTTCATTAAATCACTGACAAAAGAGCAGCCCAGGATAAGATTTTCAGATCTTTACAAGCATTGCTGACCCTGGTTTGGGGACATTTTTCCCGGATTTTCAGCGTGCTAACACGCTCTGGGTTAGCAATATGGGAGGACACGTGTCCAGGACACGGCTTCAGCTTGGCTAAATTTCTAACTGCACATGCCAAGAGGACTGGTCCACACGTTTTGTGAAAAAATTTAATTTGCCTCAATAGATTTTTAGCCTAGCCCATTGATCCTGAGTCCATTCGCACTTATGTACTTTGCTGAATGAAGCCTCAGGTGAACCACGATGAAATGAAACCAGGGTTGGAAATTCCTTCAAGTCCTCAGTTATAAGCACCCAGCTACAAACAGCATTCACATTAAACCTCTCAAATAATACAGACTGCAGACTTCAATGTGTTCCCACATGGGGACACTGCTGGAGATTCACAGCCTCCAGCAGGTACCTCTGGGGAATCATTTAAAACGCCAGAACCAACGCAAATATCAAAGACGAAATATCCCAAATGTTGCAAAAGGCAGGAGGAGCACAGATTTCACTGTGTGGACTATGTGCATCTGCATTTCGGAGTCCCCACAACACCACGGGAAACACCGAGCAGCACTGCGTGTCCAGAGTTGGACCATAAGGTTAAAAACCACCCAGAAATTCAGGCAGTAATTTGGGAAAGCGGGATTTATCCAACCTCCCCTGGGCGGCCATGGGGAGGCCAATTTGCTCACCCTGCACCGCGTTTCCCTAATAGAAGAGGAAAAACACGACAGGACACCGTGTGAGGATCATATTCTGAAGACACAAAAATACTTAAGCTTCAGCATTTTCACTCAGTCAAATGCAAGTGAGATGATAAACTCCCTCTTGAAGCCCCTCGAAGGCTTGAAATCTCAATCCATAAATATCAAACAGAGAGCACCATGACAACCCCACACCTCAAACAAATGCCAGTTAAATGAAAAAAAAAAAAAAAAACCACAACAAATGCAGACGCAACCTTTGGCCAGAATTTCCAAACAATTATTTTGAAAATGCAATGCCTGGAAAATAGTTTATCTGAGAAAACTGCATTGTATCTGGCTTGCAGTTTCCTGCCCCTGGACTTTTATTTCATCTTACAGCATGCTGCCAGTTCTGCGTTTACTTTGGTTTTGTTTTAGAAAAGAAAATTGTAACAAGGATTTTTTTTTATTTTTTTTTTTTTTAACTGCTCCAATTTCAAGCTTCCCCACATCAAGCAGAGATGTTGTAACTATTCATGGAAGATTCAGCAGTTCAAGCAGACAAGCAAAGCAATTTAAAAACAGCAGCAGAAAGCAAAGCAAAAACGCATCTGTACTGCCAAGCTAAGTGAAGACATACCAAGACTGCAAAAGAAAGTGAACGTGAAGTACATTTGTGTCTAATAAAAAATTAAACGTCTTCAACTACATAAAGCGAGTACTAAAATATTATGATTCCCCAAGAAGGAATATGAGGTTGCCGATATCCAGTAAATACTTTGCAAGCCCCGACGCTAATAGGATTCAGGGACACATCTGGGAAAAAAAGATGACTTTTATTTAAACTGTGAGTCCTCAAAGTTGCGAAGGGTTTGGAGTGAGTATGGTACAGAATACTATGTGCAAATTGTTTCTCCTCCACTTCCTCAGCTGGACATTTCCAAACGCATTATTTTTACACTTTTCATTTCTTTTCCCCATTTGCTTTCCAGCAGAATCCCCTTGGCAGGAGACAAGGACAACCCAGATTCCTCTGCTAACAGCTCAACCTCCTCCCCACCTAGTAAATAGTGATGACCCGTTATAGTTATTTCAATTGCTAAAGCAGCACCAGCTAACACTGGAATTCCTGATATTTTCCTACTTAATTCTCCTTTCTTTTGCCTCAAAAGCTACACAGACACCCAGGTAGGTGCAACAAATGGAAAGGATGAGCTTTTAAGTACATGCCCTACCAAAGCGAAATGTGTTCACATGTGCTCTGGCCAACGGCAATGGGAGACCTCAGCTGGGAATCTGATCTTAAGGAACTTGAGTGTGGTGGGTTAACCTTGGCTGGAGGCCACGTGCCTACCATAGCTGCTCTGTCACTCCCCTCCACAGCTGGACAGGGGAGAGAAAATATAACAAAATGGCTCCTGGGTCAAGATAAGGACAGGGAGACTGATCAGCAGCTACTGCAATGGGCAAACCAGACTCGACTGGGGGAAATTAGTTTAATTTATTGACAATTGAAAGTAAGAGTAGGGCAACAAAAAATAAAATATTAAAATACATTCTGCCTACCCCTCCCTTCTTCCTGGGCTCAGCTTCACTCCCGATTTCTCTACATCCTCCCCCCAACAGTGCAGCGGGATGGGCAATGGTGGTTGGGGTCAGTTCATCACGTTATCTCTGCCACTCCTTCCTCCTCACACTCTCCCTGCTCCAGCACTGGATTGCACCCACAGGAGACAGTCTTACACAAACTTCTCCAACGCGAGTCCTTCCCGCAGCCTGCAGCTCTTCACAAACTTCCCCAGCGTGGGTCCCTCCCATGGCTGCAGTCCCTCTGGCACAGGCTGCTCCAGCGTGGGACCCCACGGGGTCACAAGTCCTGCCAGCAAACCTGCTCCAGCGTGGGCTCCTCTCTCCACGGGGCCACAGGTCCTGCCAGGAGCCTGCTCCAGCGTGGGCTTCCCACGGGGTCACAGCCTCCTTCGGGCATCCCCCTGCTCCGGCGTGGGGTCCCCCCCGGGCTGCAGGTGGGTCTCTGCTCCCCCATGGAGCTCCATGGGTGCAGGGCACAGCTGCCTCACCACGGGCTGCCCCACGGGCTGCAGGGGAACCTCTGCTCTGTGCCTGGAGCGCCTCCTGCCCCACTTCCTCACTGACCTTGGGGGCTGCAGAGCTGTTTCTCTCACATATTCTCACTCCTTTCTCTTGGTTGCATGGAAGCATCTTCTGGCATCTGCTTACAGAAACTACCCCTGCAGTCCCCTTGCTACCAACACCTCGCCACATAAACCAAATACACTGAGACAGAGCCACTGCCTTGTAATCCACCTTGCTGCAGACCTGGAAATGCATGTATTGGCTTTTCTTTGGGGTGTTGGGTTTTTTTAAATTATTAATATTGTTGTTGTTCACGTGCTTATTTTATTTATTGCAACAAAAAATAATCCCTTTCCTTCACAAGAAAAATAGTTGCAACTGTCACCGCTGACA